CTTGTTCTAAAAGCATCCCTTAGCTCCAAAAACGACAGAATGTGACTGAGAACATCGTCCGGTGAAAGTGTAGTGATACCAATCTTTTTCAATACCCTTCCCCTAAACAAAATATATGAAATCATGTCAATTGTATAATTTCTTCCCTCAAGGCCAACTGGTTCAATGATTTCTATCGTTTCAAGGTGCGACACTAAACATGTCGCCGATGACTCCGTACGTCTTGAGGTTGACGGTCGACAAAAGAAGTAACCAGAGGAAGAGTGGAACATTGCAAGTCCAGGGGGAAAAAACTAGCAACACATCATTCAAAGTGAATGAAATCCTCAAACAAAATGAACTTACCTCAACAAAGATCAAATGAGGCGAATGTTGAAGAATGGAAGACACAAAATGCACATCTCTTTACAACTACCTATTCTCAAATGGTTCAAATTGCAGAACTCTGGTAAATTATCAACCTCTTCCTTAAGCATCTGCATGAAACCTCGTATGAAAACAGTAATTACAGCAGTAAAAATCATTGATTGATCAGGCATAGCTATGTTCATCGAGGGGAAAAGTTGAAGTATTTAAAATCACAATATTATTGCTACCCAAGAATGAACTGGGGACCTTCAGTGTGTAAGACAGACGTGATTACCGCTACACCACAGCAACATATTTATTATTACTATTCCTTGCTTTTGTTGTTTTTCTACTAGCTTTATGCTGGTGTTGTAACCTTTTCGTTTATTAATAAACGCTTGGCTTAAAAGAAGTCCGAGTTGAAGGAAAATGGAGTGTTCATGGCATTACAATGAATAAGAAATTACATGCATGTTTTTCTACAAAATGAACTACATTTTTACACAATAATGCCAAACACTTCAAGTATCACAGAATCCAAAACACTGCTTCTTCATGTTCTTCCACTGGGGAGTGCATAAATTGACTCACTAAGCTTACAGCAAATGCTATGTCTAGCCTTATATATGATAAGTAAATTAACTTAACAACTAACCTTTAGTATACTTCCCTTTATCAACTGATTTCAACTATAGCTATGCATATACATATTGCTAGTACAATCGAACATTACAGCTACAGGTCGATAGAACTTTTCAACGCAGTTGCCTTGTCCATGGCATCCTTCGTACTACGATCTTCACTCGACGTATCGAGAGAAAACAGTAAAGGTTTAGGAGGCAGTTAGAGGGGCTCAACTTCATTTTCAAGCATTTCCAACGTTTTGCTCATCGAAGGATGATTAGTGGGGTTCATTTGTATGCACCAGAATGCAACCATTATCAGTTTCCTCGCAATCTTTTCGTCAGCTTCTGTCACGTCTTCAAACTCCATGCTCTCCCCTCGATCGAACAGATCATATATCCATGACGGGAAATAAATCTGACTCGAATGCTCAACTGATGCATTCAAATTCTTTCTTCTTCCCACCATTTCCATTAACAACATCCCGAAACTATAAACATCAGTTTTGTATGAGATGATTCCAATATTTTTGTAAAACAATTCAGGAGCAATGTACCCCAATGTTCCACGAGCCACCGTGAGAGAGATGTTACTGTCATCGACTGGGTATAGTTTTGCAAGTCCGAAATCAGAAACTTTAGGGACAAAGTTTTCATCCAGGAGAATGTTGCGCGGCTTTATGTCGAAATGAAGAATCTGCATTTGACACCCCTTGTGCAAGTACTCGATCCCTTGAGCCACACCGAGTGCAATCTCCAACAGGTTTGGCCAGCTTAAAGTGCAGGTCTCTTTTGAGAATATGATCTTGTCCAACGATCCATTCGCCATGAAATTATACGACACAAGAGCTTGTCTCGATCTCTCGACGCAGAATCCGTGATGAATCCTTCCGATAGTAGCCACTTCGCTGATGAAATCTTCTCCGTTTGTTTTGGATTTGCTCAACACTTTGACCGCCACCAACCGACCGCTACGGAGCTTTCCTTTAAACACGGAACCGAACCCTCCCTGTCCTAATTTAACTTTGAAACCTTCTGTCATTCTTTTGATTTTAGAGTAAGAGTACCGAACAGGCATGAAATTGTCTATCATCCATTGATAAGTGTCTTCTCCTTAACTTGTGTGTAACAAGTGCAATCAAACAACATATCCCCAACAGAGTTCTTGCTAATATTATGCCTGTTCCCCCCCCCCCAACAAAAAAAGCACATACAGAATAATATATCAACATCCATTAAGTTTCCTAACAATTATCAAGTAGGATACATTATAAATTCATCGTTCTACTTTCTTCTTACTCTTATTTGAGTCAAATCACATTTATAAAATTATAACTCGAAGTCAATTCAAATTGAATTGAGTCAAAAAAATTAATTTTTCGAATCAAGTCGAGTTTAGTTCATCTCTAAGTGAGTTTTTCCATTTCTTGAGTGGTCATAGAAGACTCCATAGCATAATAATTACAGCACCGGCATGACACACGAATAAAATTATTAAACTTTCATCTTTTAATGAAAAAATATTTAAAAATAAATAAAATAGCATGAATAATACATGAATTTTATGTCAATACGCATAAACATATGTGATTAACAAGTCATCTTTCTATTTATAATTTAATATTCAAATGACGATAAATTATTAGATGGTCTCAGCTCACCACATCATCCGTGGTCTTAACTAATAATATTTTTCCATATCATTTTTTTCAAGGTGAATCTTCAACTCTTTTCTACATGTTATAAAAAGCGGATTATTATTTGGAAGTTAATTTAAAATTTGTGGCTATCATTCATTAGGACCATAAATTACATGGTGAGCTGTAGAGGTGCACAAAAAATCCGAATATCCGATTTTGTGCAAAAAAATATCTGAAACCGGATTTGGGAAAAACCGTTTTTTTTTAAACTGGATCGGATATTTTAAAACCGGATAGTATAACCGGTTTGGGAAAAAATTGGACGACCGGATTTTTACCGGATTAAAAACCGGTTTGAAAAAAACTGGATAAAAAATTGGTTTTTTATCCAGGAAAAAAAATCCGGTCTGGGGTTTAAAAATCCGGTATGGGGTTTAAAAAATTGGATGACCGGATTTTTTACCAGATTAAAAAAAACCAGTTTTTTTCAAACCGAAACCGGTTACATCATCCGGCCCTCCAAACCGGTTATGATCCGAACCGATTTTTTTATAAACCGATTTTTTGGCTTAGTGAAAAAAATAGATCGGTTTTTATCTGATCCGGATCAGATTTAAATCCGGCTATATGCATCTCTAGTGAGCCGGACCCATGAAATAATTTCTACGAAATGACACTTTTATTTATGATTTAACACTGGATTAAACAAAATAAGATTTAATATCTAGAAAATAAATTTTGATAAACCATCTACCGATAGTAATATGATAAACAGTTGGGAAAGTAAGAAGTACCTGAGATTGCCAGACAAATATGGTCGGTTGCTGTAAAAACTCCAATTGAACAACAGTAACAAGCTTGGATGCAAAGGCGAATCCAATAAATTAAATACATTATGAAATCTGGAAGAGTAACCTTTTCCAAATGGATAATCATAATATATCATCATCATAATTTTAAAACTCTTGATTAGATCCCTCCAAACTATATTGTCAATGTCCATCACTGATTGAATCTTAAATTTAATTTGAAAAATATAAGAGTAAAATTAGGGATGGCAACGGGCCGGGTTCGGGCCGGGTATTGGTCCCGTCTCCGTCCCGTTTAAAAAACACATACCCGTCTCCGCTTAAAAAATCGCGGGATTTAAACGGGGATCCCCATCGGGTAATCGAGGAAAACCGCGGGGAAACGGGTATCCCCGTTTAGCATAAACGGGTATCGGGTCGGGTATATATATATTTAAATTAAATATATAAATATTATATATATTTATTAATTTAATTTAAATTTATTAATATTATATATATATATATATAATAATTATGTTTAATATTTATCATGACGGGTATCGGGCCGGGTAATCGGGGCGGGAATTACCAAACTCGTCCCCATCCCCGTTTAGCATAAACGATTTTTTCCGGTCTTCGTCCCCATTTAACATAAACGATTTTTTCCCATCCCCATTTAATTCGGATTTCGATTTTCCCCGTCGGGTTTAGGTTTTTTTGCCATCCCTAAGTAAAATCCATAAAATGTACTATAATAGAGAGCCACCACCATTGTCTTCTAACAGTACTAGAATTCAAAATTGAGAGCCAATGAGTTGCTCTGTTGGTGTTATCTCTCGGGAAAGATGGTCGAGTTAATGATGATGACGATAATGAGGTGATGGCAAAATGCATGGGACTAGTTGAGGCACTATAATAGAACCCACCACCATGCCATAACCATTGATGGATCCGGGTTTTAGATCGGGCGCCCGTCTTATACCGAGCGCCCGGCTAGGGTTTGAAGGACACTTACATAGGATGTGGAGCAAGTGGTGTCATGGTCTTCATGGGGATCAAAGGTTTGGCCATTTTGGGGTCATTTTCTAGTTGTATTTCTAAGCTTGAGATTCACAAAATTCAAAGACTTAGTGGGGGAAGGTTATTGTGAGATAAAGAGATGAGAAAGGTTTTGAGTTTGGGATTTGTTCATCAATGTTGTTGTTCACGTGGGTGGGGAAAAGTGATTCATAAATTGTCAAGATACTACATTATTAAATCCATCGATTATTAAAAGTTATAAAATGATCCTCTAACCATAGATTATTGTTTTATTAAATCCTTCGACTATTAAAAGTTACAAAATGGTCATCCAACTATTTATTATGTATTCTCCTTAAAGGATATAATGTTATTACAGTTACGTTTGTAGTGTGCGATAAAAACAAATTAAAAATTTAATAATTGTAATACAAGTTCTAAAGGTTCAATAAGCGCCGATGTAGTTCACCCTAACAAGAAGTTCTAAAGGATGCACTTTTGACCATGGATGTATCTTCTTTTTGAACAAAGATGACAATTAGAAGATCCAAATTCCACTAGCTGAATAACCAGACAGGCTCGGATTTTGATAAAATACCTATTTCCAACTTTTTTAACCTTCAATTAGTAGGTTGTTCGCAGAATTACTAATCTCGGAGCAGCCTTAAAATGATAAATCAGAAACTAATTCATCGACTAATGAAGTTAATATATTCTTATGAATTTCTACACCCTCTTCCAATGCTTCCATGTCAAAATCCAGCCATCTCCCATGCTTTGTGCTCATGTCCATGTCTACAACATCATCCACCATTGTGTCCCCCATGCTTTTCCAACCCGAAATCTCTTTGCTCACCTCGTCGGCCAACCGATCCGGTTTTTGTATCGTTCTTTCCCAGCTAACACGTCCTTTGCAGCTTCCGACCAGAACCTGTCGGTACCTCACCTCCAACCATTCACTCACGTAATCGAGCAAAAGCTTTTGTGCGAGCTTGTAATCTTCTCCGTTTCTCTCTGTTCCATTCGGATGCTCTAGCTGATTTAAGGCCTTCAGGGTCATTACCTTTTCGGTCCGACCCGATGCATACTCTTTAAACAATAGCTCAGAATCTTTTAGCACCATTTTCACAAAATCGGTTTCCCATTCGATTGACAGTTTATAGTCTGTGGAATTTGATGCCATAGTTGAAAGCATTCTGCCCGTTTCTCCCTCAGGTTTGGAAGATGCTGAGTCGGATAACTCCGTACAGAATTCTGTCCGAGACTCGCTTCCGGAGGCCCCATTTAACACTTCTTGATCTTGATCCGGCATCGATGTTGGAGCGCCTGCAAGCGTAGAGTGTATGTGTTAGTTAGAGCATCAGTGATGATATAAAAATACAAGCGTCATGTGAAATTCATAAACTAATACAAATCGTTCTAAATTTATGAGTTTTTCACAAATAGCATTGCACCGACTCTCGGACTTCGTCTGAAGATTGAATCACAATAACATTACTAGTAGCTTCGTAGCATTTTCAACTCAAACACGACACACACGAATAAGGGTTCAAGTGCCAGAAATGTGGAACTACAAAGAGGGAAATAAGAATAAGGGTGCAGCTTACCATTTCTGCTACCTGAGCAGCCAGTGCTCGCGACAGAAGGTTCAAGAGCTGAAAGCAGGACAGGATGTCGGGTACCGACTTCTATGCCAGTCTCGCTGCTGCTGCAGCCAGCATTTTGCTCTTCGATTTCTTCGGACTGCTGGCATCATTCAAATAAATTTGAAGTAATATGTCATCATTATGTAAGATCGAAAACCAAGAATACAGTTTTATCTCTTGAAACTAGAGATGTAATAGACAATAAACTGGAAAGAAAATCAATTTAGATATGTCTTCGAAAACTTCTCTTATGTATAAATCGTAGCAGTGAGTGAGTACCTGCCACTTCCTTCTCCAATCATGCGCCAGGTTGTCAGAAGATTGATCGAAGTCACCTGAGCTATATGAGATATCATTATCTTGATACACGGGAAGCCTTTGGTTATGTGCGGCTGATGTTGTGGTTGCCGGCACTGAATTTTGCAAACTGGATGTAGGGCTAGTAGAAGTCCCCTCTATGATGATATTGCAGTTGGATGACTCGATTCTACTTGTCAATTCCTTGAGCTTTTTTTCCAAAATAGCACTCGGAGCATCCCCGCCAATTATATTGAATCTGGGAGAACAGAATGCCGAGCTTTTCGAAAATAGCAAGTCACCGTCACCAGAAGGGTCGATATAAAAGCTGCTGCTGCAGCTGTTTTCTGCAACTTTACTAGTGGAATATATGTCAGGCATGGATCTTGATATAGGGGATGTAAATGTAAACGAAACAACATCCGTGCTCGTTTTCTTTACATCTGCATCCCGATTCAAGTGCCCACCAGTTGTAACATTACATTTTACGGACCTTTCACACCCATTTGTAGATGAAATATCAGGAACAAATTGTCCAGAAGGAAGATCCTCATTTACAGGGCATTTCTTTCTAAGCAAATTTTTTCTTCTAGACATCGGGACCTCCTTTGCAGTATTGGTTGCCACTGAGACCGTCTTCCTGGAGTTTATGGTCCTATTAGACCCTGATGTACCGTTTATGCAACTCGCGTTTCTACCTTGCTGGTCTGAGGTTGAAATCTTAGACGTTGAATTATCTCTATTAGATACGCAATTCTGCTTCTGATTATTCTGCCTCAGCACACCGTTAGTCCTGTTTGCCGAGGCTCTTTTCTCCACAGTCCTTCGTATATCCGACTGGTTTGGAGAGAGCTGTTTTCTTTTAGCATCGTTCCTCTCCTTCTGGTTCACAAAACTCCCATTAACACTCGACGATGACCCTTCTTTCCTCTGAACATTAACCCTTGCTTGTTCTGCAAGTGAGACTGATTTTCCCTTATTACTCGGACTGTTAGAAACGCCTTTTTCCGAGTCCTTAGTTATCCTGAATGTTGATGTATAATCCGATTTACCGCGGCTCTTGTCCTTGTGCTGTACTTTCAAAGGCTTCACCATACTCTCGCTAGGCTCATCAGCTCTTTGAGGCCTTGATACTTTATGTGCAGCTTCAATTTTCTCTCTCAAGTTCCGCACTTTCAAAGGAACGGAAGAGGACCCGAATGATGGAACTTTGCCTTTGGAAGTTGCCCGAGGACTAGCCTCGATAATCTTCGCAGCCGCCTCGATTATATAAGCAGCATTCTTGGTCGGGATGAATGCTGGACTCCTGATGGGAGACAAAAGCTTATGGTGAGTGATTGGAATTGGCTTTGCTGATTTTGGAGGCAATATTTCAGTCTGAAATCTCTCGATTGGCCGGTTCTGCACCTTAAGAAACCTCGACTCAATGGGAATTGAAGACGACCTGCCAAGCTTGTTAGAGATGTCAGCGTAGTCCGTGGGATGGAAGACCCTGAGAGAGCAAGATCCCGAGAACGGGATGGAAGAAGACTCGGAGATGTTCTGTGTAGGCAATGAGTCCAACCCCATTAGCCTAGCAACAACTCCGGGCGCTCTAGATCCATATCGTTCATCACTAGTCACCGATGAAGAAGAATTAAAATCACCACTTCGCTATGATTCGATGCGGCAGTGACTGCAGTGTACTCATCCCTCTCCGTCTGCTAACACAAGTGAACAACACAATCAGAAACTAATATGCTACCAGGACAACAGAAGAGCAAACCGAAGGTCGAAGGGGGAAAGGGAAGAAATTTCCCACCGTAAGAGGCGGCGCGGTTCCACGACATTTTCCTCGGGTTTTACTCCTTTGATTCATCTATAGTCAAAATGCAAACAAATGGTGCATGAATTACAAACATGTAGATATAGCAAAGGAAAAAAAGGAGACTTAAAACACAACAGTACATGCATATTCATATAGATGAACAACATGAATCATGAATACATAGTATTAAATTACGGTCACAACACAACCGCATCGCAATGTTTGCAACATCCGCAATTTCGACACCGCAGCCGAAATTTAGTGCCAAGCAAGAATGTACCTGGTAACTCGGAATTGTTGGGGAACAGCTTCTTCCTGGATTTACCATTCCAATCAAACAATTGCAGAAATCCTCCCTTGGCACGTTTCCTCTCAACCTCCATCATCTTATCTATAAAAAAATCAACATTACTCAAAGATTCAAACCCAGAAAACAACCAAACAAAACAAGACCCTAAAAATCAATCAAAAACAAGTATTACACTTGTGTTTAACGGCACAGAAAGAGGAACAAAATTTGAACTTTAAATTCAAAACCATACCTGGTTTTGCTCACATTGCTCATCAGCTTAACAGATAATGAGAGCCTATGAATATCAGATTCAAGCAAGTGATTTGATGAGAGAGAAATCAAGCATTTTCATGTGTAAAATACCCCCAAAATATGTAAATCAGATCTCCGTGATCCAAGTACCAAGCTCCTTCATTTTCACAATGGGGTTGCATAAAAACAGCTAAACCTAACTGGGAATTCTTTAAACTGAACAAAAAGCTTCAATATTTTCAACCATTAGCAGAGATAAAGACACAGATTTGGTTGATACCGGATATTTAGAAGTAGAAAGTCATTTTTTTTTAAATAAAACAACCATGGGAGGGTTTAACAGTGGAAGAAATGTCTGGTTTTGAACATTAAATTTTGAAGAAGAAGTGATTTAAAGACCCAAGGCTGTTGTCTTGTGAAATGAATCAATTTAAAAAGGGGGAAAAGAAGAAGAAAAAAAAATGGTGTCTTGGTCATCTAACTTTTGTCACCAATGCCATGCATGCCCACATGGGGGAGTTTCACCATTGGCTTAGGACCCTTCATTATTTGGTTGGAGGACTCCATTTGCACCCCCACTTCCACTATTTATTTTTGGCTTATTATATAAATTGATACTTGAAGTTGGTAAATTTTCTCAAGTTAGTCACTCCAACAACCATTTAAATTTGATGACATGATTTTGATGTACAACATTCCATAACCTAATAGGTTGTTGAAGGACCACATAAGAATCAATTATCAATTTGGAAAAACAAACTTAATTGAAAAATAAGAACAAAAATTATGATTTAAGATGCTTGACATTAACTACTAAAAAACCACTACTCATCTGTATTTTTATTTTATTTATAAAAATAAAATTATTAATTTTTAAAAAGTTTTAGAAATCTATAAACGATTACAAATCTCTAAATCCTTAAAGCTCAAATCTCTGACTCTTATGTGATCATCGAATCTATCATTATTAGTCATCGTTTTATCGTCAGACTCTATTAGTGAGTCTTCTCTCTTGTTGTTGCACATCATCGTCTGAAACAAAATAATTATAATATTTAGTCTTTAATCATACGGCACGAGATTATTTTTCACCCAATCATCGCTTGTTCATTGTCAACGATTAGACTACACCATTGTCTATACCAAAATTGAGCCACTCAAACCTTCAGTCGCTACCTAATATCTTACCATTTAAGAAAAATTAGAAGATTTAAATATTATTTTTTTTATAAAAAAATTAACGAAATAAAATTTTAGACACCTTAAATGATAACATAGTAAATGTTAGGCATCTATTTTGATTAAAAAAAATACTTTAGGAGTCTAATGGAAACTTATTTTCAATTAGGGAAAAAATCAAATTTAGACACTAATTCGAGACAACAAAGTTCAGCTATCAATTCAAAAAAGTTGCCAACTTTTAGGGACCAACCTATATAATAAACCTTTATTTTTTTACATTCTAAAAAAAACACTTTTAACTGAATTAAGTAACTTAAAACGAATAAAGTGTCATGTACCGAAAAAAAGTTTATAAATAGTCATTAAATGTTATTTTGGTAATTCAACTTTTAAAAAAAATTATAAAATGAATATTAAATTTTAGATTTCGTTAAAAAGAAGCGTTAACAATTAACTATCGTTAAGGGTAATGTGGTATATTAAATTAACAAAAAATATCTTATTTGCTCCATCAATTGTGACTAAAATTTTATTTTTTATTTTTTAAATATTTTAAAGTAATAATATCTAAAAAAATTATATATGTTTCAAAATTTATTTTTAAAATTCTATTTAAAACTATTAAACAAATATTAAAGAATTGAATCACATCGTTTAATAAAAAAACAATTTTATTTTTTATAACCGAAAATGTTGGATCTCAAAATTATAAATTTCCAAATATAATCAAAGTTAAATAAAAAATCGACGCACAAGAGATCATTTCTTCATCAAAAATCGACGCGTATTCCTGCTAAATCAACCAAACACCAAATACAACATTCACGGTAATCTTATTCCCTGATAATCTTTTATTTCCGCTGGTATCTTACATTTCGTGAACCAAATGCATAAGAGATCATTTCTTCATCAAAAATCGAAAAGAAGTACTCGATCGATATTCGCCTTTGTTGTCCCCCGGTCTTTATCATCGTGCCCTCGTTACATCTTAGCTGCGACGTACACTGACATTCATGCCTATGGTGATTAGGATGACCCGAGGCAATTATCACACGGGTTTGAACCATTTTTACAAGCTTTTCTGTCAAAAGGCTCTCCAAAGTGTTCGAGTAGGATTTTTCTCCGGCATTCATCCTAGAAAAGATGACTTCCGGCGTAAGAAACAAGTTATAGCGTCGGTAATAAAAGAAACGAGAAAGGGTCGCCGACCAAACCTTAAGTTCACAGTACTCTCGCATTTTCTGAGCTCGAGCCATGGCTGTTTTAAAGCTTTGGCTCTTGCAACCTTGCCCGTTTCGTAACATGCACACGACTCGACTGAAATCCTTCTTCTGGTATAAAGCAATGCATACGGCACTGCCGTTATCTCTTCCAGCCCTCCCAGACTCTTGATAATAACTTTCAATCGATTTGGACATCGTACTGTGGACGACAAATCGCTGTAAAGAGTTTGCATGAGAAAAAGAATAAATACTGATTAAAATAATGGAACGAAAAGAAATATTTTAATATCAATCACCATAAATTAGGTTCAGCTATACAGAGTACAATGATGTATACATTCAATCAGCTAGCGAAAACAGTATTTAGGAAACGTTATTATTTCTACCGATTTTGTTATTATTAGTCGTATTATCGGATTTGGTAAAGTGCTACCGGTTTTGTTATTTTTTCTATCAGTTTTGTTATTATTAGACATTTTATCGGAAATGTTGAGAACATTAATATTTTAGATAGAAATAATAATGTTTCCGGTAATTTTTATCGGTTTTGTTAAAAAAAATAATAACAAAACCAATAACACCTTTAATTTCTACCAGTTTTGTTATTTTTTCTACCAGCTTTAATCGTATATTAAAGTTACCGTACTGTAAAACTCTCCACTCAAAACTTATTGCACATCATGGGCTAAATGAGACATTAATATTTGACTTTTTTATATTTTCAATTGGATTTTTTTTATTTTTTTTTATTTTATAGATTTATATTTTCTTAAAATTTTATAAAATCGTCCATTGTTATATCATGCATCCATCTCTAATTACAAGTATTGTACATGTAGCATAGTGTATCTATGGACCTGTAATGGAAAATACTAACGAGACAAGGTCTACGATTTGATAATGGTGACATTTATAAATGGCTTAAGAGTCATATATGTCCCTGTAACAGACTCAATTTATCATTTTCGTCCATGTATTTTCGCATCAATTTAGTCCTTTAATTACATCATTCTATACCTTAACTTAACTTAAAACCCTAAATTTTAAACCCTAAACTCCAAACTATAACACAATCTCAAATCCATAAACTCTAAACCCTAAACTTTAACTTAAAACCTTAGAAAATAGTACATATTTTAAACATTGATGCATTTAGCAACTTCGAGGGCTAAATTGATGCGAAAATACGATATGGTAAAAATGATAAAACGGGTCAACTACAGGGGCAAAAGTTACCCTTTTGCCTTCATAAATCTATAGATCGATTGTATGAAGAATGGTTAAAATGAATATTGTTCTCTCTAGATGTTTTGAGTTCAAACTATTACTCTTGTAGGGTGTGTATACATTATCACTAATTAAGAAAGAATATGAACAAATACTAATGAAGAAATTATAATTTACTAAAACGATGCTTTCACAAACTTAAAAATATGTAAAGATGGAAGGCTTAATATGAAATGTGGAAAACTTTATGATTATGATAATGAAGGTATATACTTTGATTTTCATAAAGAAAGAAAAGATAAACCCTGCATCAATATTGATTTGAAGTCTGAAAATTTTGATGTGATTCACCATATAAATCTGGGTTTTGGTTTCCAGGATCAGTTACAAAAGAATATTCAGGCAAAAACCTTTCTGGACCATTGGTTGGGAATAAGAACCTAATTTCCCATCTTATTATCGTCATATTCGAATGCCAAACCGAATATCTGTCTGTAGTCGTCGACGAAATGAACATCGAGACCTTCTCTTGCATTTTCAGCAAGCTCGTCGAAATCACGTCTGTTAGCAGACGGGAACACGATCGTCTTCACTTCACTCCTCTTTGTTGCTATTG